TTGAGTTTTATTGATGTAAGTTTCCAAGCAAGTTTCGAGACATATTTCAATGCGAAAATTAAAATATGGAAACTTCAACACTGGTTGGGGAGAGTTAGGTTTAGATGTTTTGATCAAATTAGGTATAGTTATAGCTATATCACTTGGAGAATTTATAATAATATTAGATAATTTTATTAGTGCTAAATACTGAACACGATGTGCAGTTACTAAAGCCAAGAGTATTACGGTATTTTTCGAAAGTCTCCAAGTTGAGGTCAGACTTAGGCCATTGTTGAGTTAAATAATTTAGATCTATGGTTGGATCCCATGTCAAATTATACTATGGATTAGTGGACCTCAACCTGTTAACTAATTTCATGAATCGTTTTAGTCTATCGTCATCAATTAAATTACCTAACAATAAGGAACATGCCGGATTTGTAAGAGTTAATAGTGCCATATTTGGCACCTTTATCAAACATAATAGAAAGAAAATTAATTGCTATAGGAACAGAAACTTCAGAGTGATTATAACAATGTATATTACAATATTATATCTAATTGTTAATACATCGCATCATATTGTTTATAAGTAGAATCATAAAGACGACAATATAATTTCTACATCTCTCGACTACAAACATCTCTTAAAGAAAAATTTTCCTGGAAGCAAGAGTGCGGTGCAGGTTATGATGCTGGCTCTGCGTAGTAACACGATATCTACCCGTGTGCCGTTCAGCCACATTCCCAATACTGCGATAACGTGACCACAACCTTGATATCACGTATTGACTGGTGTGTAGGGTCTCAGCAAGGACGCGTTCAGTAACACCATTTTCTAACATGCCCACGGCTCGTAACATTTCATTTCGACTCAAATGACGACGTGATATGACTTTTAAAGCTCACACGGCACGTTAAATTAAAAAAAGAAAAACAATCTAATCCCGTTTCATTAATTAATATCTGTAGAACAATTTAAATTTTCCTTGACGTAACGAATTACTAACAATTTTGCTGCCGTATTTTGTTTTTTTATTTACATTTATAAATTTTGAAAATAGAATAAAAAGGTTTGAATCTGTATATCAACTCTTTATGGAAACTAAAAAGTTTTTAAAGAAGTCATAAATAATTTAGGATTAAAGTATCCCTAATATAAAGTAATATAAAGTAAGTAAATTAATTCCGTCCAATAATAAATTTAATTCCGTGCTCCATGGTGGCATTACACCGGAGGCGTGGAGCAGAAGTGCGGTGGTCTTGTTCTTCAAGAAAGGTGACAACGCTCTCTTGAAGAACTACAGACCGATTTCCCTTCTGAACCGCGTCTACGTGCTGTTTTCGAGAGTCATTGCGAATCGTCTCGCGCGCAGACTTGACGACTTCCAGCCTCCCGAACAAGCCGGTTTCCGAAAGGGCTTTAGCACCATAGACCACATACATACTCTTCGGCAAATTGTACAGAAGTCCGAAGAGTACAATTTGCCACTATGTCTGGCGTATGTGGACTATGAGAAAGCCTTTGATTCCGTCGAAATTTGGGCGGTGCTGCAGTCCCTTCAGCGGTGCCAAGTTGACTGTCGGTATATCGAAGTGTTGAAGTGCTTGTACAGTAGGGCTCGTAGGCTCGTAGAACCAGAGTACGAAACCTATCCAATTGCAGAGAGGTGTAAGACAGGGTGACGTCATATCCCCGAAACTCTTCACCGCTGCATTGGAAGACGTTTTCAAGCTTCTGGACTGGAAAGGATACGGTATCAACATCAATGGCGAGTACATCACTCACCTTCGATTTGCCGACGATATAGTCCTTATGGCAGAATCGCTGGAGGACCTAAGCACTATGCTCAATGACCTCAATAGTGTTTCCCAACGGATAGGTCTTAAGATGAACATGGACAAAACTAAGATCATGTTTAATGTCCATGTCACACCTATGTCGGTAGTTGTTGGGAACACTAAGCTCGAAGTTGTTAACGAGTATGTTTACCTGGGACATATAGTCCGACTAGGTAAGTCCAACTTCGACCGAGAGGTCAATCGACGGATTCAACTCGGTTGGGTAGCGTTCGGGAAATTACGGCACATCTCGTCAGGTATACCTCAAACCTTGAAAACGAGACTGTACACCCAGTGCGTGTTGCCAGTGATGACATACGGAACTGAGACGTGGTCCTTCACTGCTGGCCCAAGGTCGCTCAGCGAGCTATGGAGAGGGCTATGCTCGGAGTTTCTCTGCGTGATAAACTTAGGAATGAGGATATCCGCAGTAGAACCAGAGTAACCGACATAGCCCAACGGATTAGTAAGCTGAAGTGGCAATGGGCCGGCCATATAGCTCGAAGAACCGACAACCGATGGGGAAAAAAGGTTCTCGAGTGGCAGCCTCATACCGGTAGGCAAAGTGTAGGGCGTCCCCCCACGAGATGGAGTGACGACCTGGTAAGACATGCAGGAAGTCGATGGATGCAGGTGGCTCAGGACCGTGCTTTGTGGCACTCTTTGGGGGAGGCCTATGTTCAGCAGTGGACTTGTGAAGGGCTGTAATGATGATGATGATGATGATGATGATAAAGTAAGTAATATGTTTGTAATTACAATATTAAGATTAGTCACGAATTTTTAAGTACCAATATTATGAAATAGTTTTTTTTTTATGTTAACTGTAAATTAATTTACTTGTGTAATGTTATCCCACTTTTCTTTTGGTAACGAGTTTTACAAATTACGCGTACTCTCAATATTACTGAAAATAATTCTTATTATATAACTAAAATCAAATATAAGCAAACTACACAAAATACTTTCGTTTTTTCGTTTAAAAGTTTAAAATCAGAGATACAATTTATTACAACACAACAAACTTTGTCATATTATGTCAATTTTATATCCCGGTACGAACAATAGCGGCACTTCAAATCGGCACAAACATTTTATAGGGTATAGCCAAAGAGTATAGTAACTGTCCTATACAGGAAGGTATAGCCTAGCTTATCCAGCGTACTTGTATATATGTTACTGTAAAAGCTAGAACTACGGTAAATTCTAAGATTTTGCAGTAAAACTTAAGATTTACCAAGTCCATAAGGTAAAAGTCCGAAGTGTTCTATGGTAATCGTTTATTTCGGACTTTTACAAGCATTCACTCAGTAAATGTTAGTTTTTACCTCTAAGACACGGTAAATGTTGAAATATAGTCATGTCTAGACGTGTTCGGCACATTATCGTTCTTGCGAACAGTGTGCAGCCCTCTCCGCTACCTGAGTCACCCTCTGTTTTTATTTTGAGACTGCAACGTCTCCGGCGCTGCGAGAAGAGCAGCGTCTACGCCTTTGCGTAACAAATCGCAGGCATCCCTCTTCGCCTGCGAAGCTTCGGCTTGTTAGCCGCTTCGGCTCGTCCGATGCCTACGATTTGTTACAGCAGGCGGAGGCTGCTCCCCCTACGCGCCTCCGGCTCGATAAAAACACTCTAGGGGTAGGACAGACTCGTACCAGGTGGAGTCGGGATCAATCAATTCGGTTCTTTGACATAATTTATTAATCAATTTTATACACATATTGTATTGCTTTAATTAATTCTTCGAAAACATCTTCTTCGGAAAGAATCGACATCCCTACTGACGATGACAATGACAATACAAAATAGCGTCAGTTTTACGGTAGGAATTGACATAAATATTGCAAAAGTAATTGCTTTTCAATAAAAAAAAATTCTCAAAAAATACGCGTTTCCACATGTTGAAACTTTGCGTGTGTGCTTATAATAATTTAACCTTTATGTAAAAAAAAATATCAATCCCAACTCGACGGACGTCAAGGGCAAGCTAAGCCTTTTTATTTTTCTATATTCTACTTTCAAAAATCACCATAAAGATGTTTTAAAATTATGTAGGTAATATGATTCAATGTTTAATAAATACTTTCTACTTATATAAATTTAAGTATTGTTTCATTTCCAAAAACAACACTTACTGATAGTCTTTGGTCAAACCTAGGATGTACCAAACTCTAACGGTAAAAGCGCGAAAAATCGTCGCATTTTATATCAATCCTTACATTTACCAGCTCATGTTGGTAAATCCTAGGATATAAAAGTAAAACCTAAGATTCACCAAAGTTCGGGCTTTTACAGTAACATATTATATAGAGGTTAGTGGAGTTAACCACGTAGTGACGTAGTATCCACCAAGGAGGTTATTATAACCTCCTTGGTATCCACTAAGTAGTCTGTGTGTGGAGTTAACTTATATTAGCTTATCTATGGAGTTAACCTACTTTCTAGTTTTGCTAGTAATTCTATGTACAAAATAAACAAAAATTAAAAAAAAATCACCTGAAGGCTAAAGGCCTTGTAGCCAGTGCCTTGGTGCCATTGTAAATTAAAGAAAAATATGAATAAAAAATATGACAGCAGACAGCAGTGCGAAAAATGAAAATATGAGATAAATCTTTAAGAAAACCGTACTAATACTTTGTTGTAAAGAGAACTAACTAACCTAACCTAACCTCCTTGGTATCCACTAAGTAGTCTGTGTGTGGAGTTAACTTATATTAGCTTATCTATGGAGTTAACCTACTTTCTAGTTTTGCTAGTAATTCTATGTACAAAATAAACAAAAATTAAAAAAAAATCACCTGAAGGCTAAAGGCCTTGTAGCCAGTGCCTTGGTGCCATTGTAAATTAAAGAAAAATATGAATAAAAAATATGACAGCAGACAGCAGTGCGAAAAATGAAAATATGAGATAAATCTTTAAGAAAACCGTACTAATACTTTGTTGTAAAGAGAATAGAATCGCTACGTTTTACTTTTACTTTGTTGTGTTTGTTTAGTACCTATTTATGTTGTATACGATTTTTTAAGATTACTCAAAGTATTTATTATAAGTTAATTAAAACAAGCTTGTGCACATTCACACAATCACATATTGTTTATTATTATCATCATTAAATTACTTTATAAGAATTTAATTTTTCAAAAAATTGTCACTTTATGATGTTATTTTAATTCGTAATGGATTTTAGTTCTCTAAATCCATTGACATCAAATGCATTAAATTTGGCTGCAAGAGCCAATGACATACAGGTTGTTAAAAGATTGCTTAAAAAAATCAATCCAAACTGTATCGACAATAGAGGATGGACTTGCTTACATGAAGCAGCTGCTGCAGATAGTTATGAAAGCTTATTACTTATTTTGGAACATCCTGACTGCCGTCAATTAGCTGAGGATCATGAAGGCTGTACAGCACTGCAAGTTGCTTGTAGCCATACAGCATCTATTAAGACTATAAAAGCACTCTTAGAAAGTGTTTCAGATATTGCAAACTATGGAAACACTGAAAACATTACACCATTACACATTGTTAGTAGTCAAGGCAGATTGGATGTTATGCAGTTATTGATTGACCATGGTGCAATGATTAATGTGCAGGATTTTGATGGTCACACTGCATTACATGATGCTGCCTTAGCCATGCAAGCGTCAGCACTAAATATTTTGTTATTTGCTGGAGCTGACCCTGAAATACTCAATGAATCTAATTTTACAGCATTTCATTTTGCATGTTATAAAGGGTGCTTAGAGTCTGTTAAAGCATTGCACCCATTTGTTAGCAATATAGACCAAGTGACAGTAAGCGGAGATAGTCCATTAATGTTAGCTACAATGGGAAATTGTGAAAATGTAGTTCAATTCTTATTAGAAAATGGCGCTGATCCTCATGTAAAAGATGTAGAAGGTGATATGGCACTAAACATTGCCTTAAAAAGTGGGCACAGTTCTATATTTAAAAGGCTTTTGTTTGTTACTGACAAAGAGAAAATAAATCGTGATATTATTTTATATGCCTGTAAGCCACATTACTTTCATCTGGAAATACTTGAAAGTCTTTTAGTTCATGACTTAGGACCAGAATTCTATGATTTAGTAGAGCCATTCCATGTAACATTAGAGAAAATAGGAGACTTAAGGCCTACATACCTGACAAGTGCCCCACTTAACTCATTTCTAAATATATGTGAATATATTTATAATCAATCTCTGGAAAAATTTGAAGAATTCTTCTGTTTATTCCTTGCACGAGGAGTCTCTGTTGATGCATTAAATGTAAATGAATGTCCGCCACTTGTGTATATACATTATTCAACACACTCGGGTTCTTTTCAGGAGGCAAGTAAAATAGTATGTAATCTTAATTAGTAAAATAAGTGACACCGTAGTTAGCTAACATATGTAATTTCTTGTAGCCTAGGGGTTTTCTTATTTCATCATTGTCTAATTGAAAACAATTTGCAAGTGATTACCCTTAAAAGCTAGAGAGTTGTCTTTATATGGGCATTTTTCAAATGCCTAAGGATATTTGCCTTATGCCCCTGCAAGAATGGGTTATGTCAGACTCACACCGACTAAAACCCCATGGTGTTGCATAGATAGGGCACGTGTCTGATGGCTGAAGGCAATGGAGCCAAGAAAAACGAGCACTTGGAAGCTTTAGCCTTGAGGACCCAAGTGGTGGATCTGGTCTATGGCTTCGACGCCAAACAAGATTCGTTGGCTGCGGTGGGTAGGGAGAGTGGTGCCCCGCAATGCCGACTCAGCTCTTCCCTCACAGCCCCTCCACCACCGCATCAACGATACGTCCCCGTCAGAGCCACGGAGGATAAGGCAAGTGGCGCAACGCCATACCAACACTCCTCGTACTTTATGACTCCACTTCGGCTGCAGCAGTAGGCGAGAGGACACCCCTCTCACTGCAGCCCACCAACCCACATCCAAAGTGGGCTCGCCAAGCCTTCTCGGGGTGGCCACCTTGGGCCAGCCATATGGGTTCCTCTTTGTTCACTGCAGTTGACCAAGTCACGGCTACTAAGCCCACCCGCCACGACAAGGCGGAAATCCGTTCGAGGGGAAGGAAATTGTTTACCTATAACTGAAGCACTACATTAGGTACTTTTAGAGATTATTTTAAATAATTAAAAAATAGTTTGCAGTGCTTTTTTAACTACAAAATTCAAAAAGCACTTCAAACTATTGTGGCTATTTGACATCTATAGGAAGAGAAAGGGTAATGGATCACATTAACAATGTACATTTATCGGTGTTTTAGTTATATTATAATGATCAATTATTAGACAAGATATGTTAAAAATCCCCTTAAGATCGTCCATATTTGTTTATTTAATATTTAAAGTTATAAAATATTTCAGTAGTTCTATACTTGTAATGTTAATAAGTTTTTTTTATAGGATAAGGATGACAAATGAGCACACAGTCCACTTGATGGCAAGTGGGTGCTGTGGCCCATAGACATCTACATCGATTACGAATCAAAATGCAGATGCGTTGTCACCTGTGAGGACTGCGATAGAATTCCTTGTTCCCTTGGTACTCTACACTCACCATACGAAACACAGCAGTGTAAAGCTGTTATTTCACGCAGGTATTCTGTGAGAGCATTGGCATTCACTGGTTGAACCGACCCATTCATGCTACAGCTATACCAGTAATATAGCTGCAGCATGGCTCTACCACGTATGACAGTAAACAATGTTCAAACTTAAGACTTGATGAAATTAAGAGCATATGCTCAGAAAGTTATACGCGGTAGAGCCATGCTGCAGTTATATATAGTAGTATAGTTCTAGCATAAATGGGTCGGCTCGACCGGAGAAAGACCGCGCTCTCACAGAATACCAGCGTAAAATAGCACCTTGACACTGCTGTGTTTCGTATGGTGAGTGTAGAGAACTGGAGACCCATTTTTCTGGAAATTAGGCATTCCATCTAGTCCTCACGGGTGGCGACGCATCTGCATTTTGATTCTTTACAGAGGATAAATGTAAATGTCTATGGGTCACAGCAGCCACTTACTATTGGGTGGACTGTGTGCTCTTTGTCACCCTATCCTATAAAAAAAAAGTTGTAAAGAAATAGTTCTCAACTATATAAATTACATAATATGTAATTGTGTGTAACATACAATTTTTCCCAAATGAGAATGTTTTTAAACCTACATGTTATTATTTATGTTACAGATATTCAAAGTACTCTGTGATCATGGATGTAATATAGATTACTGTACTACAACATCTGCTTCAAGCAAGGCATTGTGTATTCCTGACGCATTTGTTGCATCCTTGACTTCAAATCCCAGTACTATGCCATTAATGCTGTCATATAGTTTGAGCTGTGAGCCAGAATTGCTTCTACAATTTGCTTATGAAAATAATTTATTGGCAAGAATACCAGTACAGGTAAACTTTCCAGTCCACAAAAAATCACAATCCTGTCCAGCTGGACAGATATATTAATGACCCTTGACTTAAATGAGATGCTTACAATATAACCATCTGTTGGAAGCCATAACATCTCTCCAGCTTACCCCGTAGTCGCCTCTTACAACACTCAAAGGGTACATAGCAGTATCCAAACGTCAACACAATTTTTCCCATTTTTATTAACACACACACTCACACACACACACACGCGCGCGCGCGCGCACGCACTCACGCACGCACGCTCACACACTGTCTCGACAAGAGTTTTGACTGAAAGCTACTTCCTACTTCCTCCACTATTTTCTTGAAGTCAGGACTTTCATTGTTTTCAACCGACTTCAAAAAAGAGTAGAGCTTTACAATTCGTCGAATTCTTATGTATGTTCACCGATTACTCGAAGACGCCTAAACTAATTTCGAAAATTCCTTTTTTGTTTCAAAGGGTACTCCCCAGGTGGTCCCATTTAAATTTTATCGAAATTGGTCGAGCGGTTTAATAAAAATCAACAATAAATTATATCAAAATTTAAAATTTTACTACTTGTTTATGCCAAATTTTAGCACAGATCTTAGAAGCTGATATGTGGAAATTATTTTATTCTTTTTATTCCTATTAAGTCTGTTTTTATTTAAAACTATTTTATTTTATTAAAAATATGAATGTAAATATTTATACTTAAATATTTTTTATATTTTCAGGTTCAAGAGTACTTACTATTACAAATAGGTGTTGACCTCGAAAGAACTACAGTTGAAACACTATCACATACTGTCTTGCCATTAAAACATTTATGCCGAGTAAGGATTCGAGAAGTTTTAAGAAGCAATATGATTGGGATGCAGACTTCTAAGTATTTTCTTAATATTCTCAGTAAATTAAAAATACCTAGTGTTATAAAAGATTACATACGTTATATATAAATATTTTTTAAACTTTTATTAAGTTGTTGTCCTTATAGCATACAGAAGTCAATTATTGGAAGAATGTTCTTAGAAGAATTGTTGCAATAGTGAAATTTTCAACTTCTAGAGGTTTGTCTCAAAATAACAGGAATTATTTAGGATGCCTAAAACTGATTAGTGAATCCTTTTCTTGCTGATGCTGCGAAAATCGTGTAAAAGGAGGTACATCATATTTGTCTGCAAATATTTGTAATGAATTTATTAGTTTAATGGAATAATTTAAAACTTAAAAACAAACATAAACACACGCCTTTCACCCAGAGGGGTAGGCCGAGACTATGGACTTCCATTTGGCACGATCCTGACACACCTCTCTCGTTTCCTCCACATCCATAGCCTAGGCATACGCGCTCATCGGTTAAAGGTACTCTTAACTTGGGCAATTTTCAATATATCGCCAATTTGGTCGATATATACGTGGTAGAGCCATGCTGCAGCTATATTAGTTTATATTAGTAGTATAGTTGTAGCACGAATGGGTCGGATCGACCGGGGAAGGACCACGCTCTCATAGAATACCAGCGTAATATAGCAGCTTACGCTGCTGTGTTTCGTATGGTGAGTGTAGAGTACCGGAGACCCTTTTTACTGGAAATGAGGCATTCCATCTTAGTCCTCCAAACCGCCGAAGCATTCCTTTCTTAATCCTGGTCACAACATCATCTTGCAAACCACACTCTTCTCTTATCAAACTACTTTTCACCCTGTCATTCAGATTCATCCCTAACATACTTCTTAATGACCGAATTTCTACAGCATTTATTTTACTCAAGTGCTTGTTCTGCCACACCCAACTTTCACTACCATACATTAAAGTAGGGACTAACACAGCAACGTGAATTGGCATATGTGCCTTTTTGGACACATTCTGACTTTCCACATTAAGGTGTAGAGTCACATTTATTCTATTTCCTGCGTTCACTCGTCGTTCTAAATACTTATCATATCTACCATCCCTGCTAAATACACATACCAAATACACAAACTTATCTAATTGTTCGACCAATTCCCCTTCTATTCTTATTTCACATATCGTTTTACTTTATTCTCTTTCAAAAACCATAACTTTCATCTTACTTGCGTTCACTTTCATTCGCCTTTTTTTTAACGACCTGTTCATTAATGTAAATATTATTTGCAACTCGGCCGCCGACGACGCACATATGACTTGATCATCGGCGTACAAATGTAATTTGATGGTTATTTCACGCATTCTTAACCCGCATTCTTCTACTTTCAAATATTCCAAACAACTGTCCATAAATAGGTTGAACAGCCACAGGGAAGCCAACAGCCCTGTATGACACCTTTATGGATGTCAAACCAGACCGAGTAAGCCCCGTTGATCCTGACACAAGCACTAGAGTCCCTATACAGAGACTTCACTGCCTGTATCAAATTTTTCCATCAGTTTCTTTCATAACTCTTTCAATTAGTACCTTAGCATACAGTTTTCCCACAATGCTAAGAAGGCTGATACCACGGTAGTTTTTACAGTACTGGTGTGATCCTTTTCCTATTGGTACTATCACGGCTTTGCGTTAGTCTTCCGGTACCCGCTTAAGTTCTCAACATAAATTAAACAAGGTGTACAGCAGGTCTGCCACCACTTCTACTCCAGCCCTTAGCATTTCGAGAGATACTATATCATATCCGGCTGCCTTACTTGCTTTTATATTTTTCATTGCTTTCAAATTTTCATCTATACTTATGTCTCTATCTATTTCCTCTTCTTTCGAAATTTATATTTCATTTAATTCAGACGTCTCATCACTCTTAAACACGCTTTCAAAGTATTCCTTCCATCTGCTTAAACTCAAAACTTCGTCATTCAGAATACAGCCATTCTGGTCTCGTATAGCATTCATTCTAAGCTGTTTTGAATGTCCCCTGGCAGTTCTTACGAGTTTCCAGAACATGTTAATGTTTGCCTGGAAGTTATCCGATATTCTTCTATCATTCTCATCCGTTCTTTCTTGCTTTTTCCTTTCAACTACTTCTTTTACTCACTTATTTAGATGTCTAAAGACTGCCTTTTTTCCCTTCTATATCATAATTCATACCGCTAGAATTACTAGCCTTGGTTGCTAGTAAATCTAGCCATGCTTTCTTCTTTGCTTCAACTTCCATCCGTACCTCATCATCCCACCATAACGTGTTATTTTTCCTTTCATTTGTTCTCTTACACCACATACTTAGATAGCTGCATCCATCAAACCTTTCTTGACATTATACCACACAGTCTCCAAGTCTAAATCATTTATACACAATTCAGTCATACCACTTATTTCTCTCAGTCTTCATTTGAACTTCTCTTTCAAACCCTCATCTTGTAATCTCTCTGTTCTTATACGCTGTAATGCAGTAGTAGAGAGATGTCCGATTCCGCCAACGTCTAAATAGACCATTAATTCGGCATAAGACCAAGGAATTGATGGTCCGTCCCTACGTTGGACCCCGGTAAACCCTTGTATCTACCACCCTGCTCCTCATTCTTTCATCCACAATTATGAAATCTATCATGCTTCTATCATCACCTTTTTCCCATGTATACATGTGAATCTTCTTATGACGGAAAAAAGTGTTCGTCACAAAAAGATCATTTTCCACACATACGGTGAGGAGGTTTTCACCACACTCTCACATCTCTCTCACATTGACCTTCATCGTTATATACGTGAAAGACGGGGAGCCTATTGATAGATATTTGCAGCATTTGCCTATGGATAAATAATGCAGAACACATAGCAGATACCATTTTAAACTTTCAACATCTACCTACATCTCTATCAATTCCCATAAAAGATTGTCGCGGGCAGAGTTATGATAATGCACCAAATATGACTGCAAAGTATTCTGGTGTTCAGTCAAGAATAAAAGAAAAATGTGAGTTTGCAATTTTTGTCCCGTATGCGGCACATTCGCTACATTTAGTAGGTGTTCATACTGTTAAATGTGCTTCCGAAGCGGTAGTGTACTTTTAGTTTATCCAAAAATTGTTCAATTTTTTCTCGATTTCGGCGAAAACGATGGAAAATATTGACATAGCATTTGGGCGTAAATAGTCCTGAAGTCTCTCTCTCTACTAGACTCTACTAGTTGGTCTGCACGTATTAATGCTATTAGTGTTTTACAAAATGATTATTTAAATATTTCTGAAGCTTTGTTCTCAATTGCAAGTGACTTAATCAACCAGGAGAAACAAGAAACGAAACCCAAAGCCTTATAAAAAAAATGGAGAAATTGAATACTATACTTTTTGTTACAGCCCTCAGCTGCTACGACAAAAGTCGACGGAGCTAGGGCCCATAGTAGCTTCCTCGACGAGCAGCCACAGGGTTCGGGCCCAATGGCCTATGGATAATTATTCTAAAACGGCTGACAAGCAAACAAACTTACATAGTTCCGGAGGTAGGGTTGGGCAGCCACAGGGTACCAGTCAGGTGGTAAATGAGTATGTAAGTAGTGTGCGAAAGTGTGTATAAATGTAACCTGATATCCCCGATATGATCCGAGAGCAGACACATAGGCGCTGGTTTTCTCCAAAATGTGCGATCCCTCCAGTGGGCGTTCACCAATTGAAACCTGCTTTTATTTCACTATATTAGTTTATCAACTTTATTGTACATTTAATTAACTTAAAATTTAACTAAATCCACGTTAATCGTAATCAAACAAGTGACACATGACACCACTAAAGAACGGTCGGTCAACGTTCAATGTTCCATGTTCACTTAGCAACAAATTATAATCGAGCACACGCGATCTCCTCTCGAGTCACAAAGTTTAGCGTTCTCCCGACAAAGCACATTCCTTCGTACGATATTAAAAGGCCACACAAACAACAACTCGTCGGCACAAATTAATGGCAATCAGTTAATTTAATCCACACGGGCCGTGCCCAACCAACTCATCGGTCACCAACACGCGGTCGAATGCCGGGAAGCGGTACACGGCTGCGGCCCCTCCCCCCCCCCCCCGGCGGCGTTTACGTCACCTAAATACCATCGGATGACGCCGATTGAATGCAAGTTTTTTAAATGTTTTAGATTAGGCCTAAACACTTAATGAAGATATGGAATGATCTTTTGGGAATAATGAACAAAACCAGCTTAAGTTTAAAGAATAGCACCATGGCCATGGACGTTACAACAAAACTACGCATCTCTGATCGATTATGTCAACAACACAATAATTTCGATCAGTACGAATCGGCTGTTAAACAAAAAAATCCAAATGCTGACTGTAAAGATAAGTCTGAAAGAAAAAGAATTCGCAGCACACGTGTTACTTTTTTTTGAAGGATGATCAGAGACCGAAAAGTAAAACGGCAAAGAAAAATTTCGTGTAGAGACGTTTATTCATATTATATCGATTAAATATAGGACTATATTTAATCGATACAATATACCTATGTACATTTAAAAATCGTTCGGCAGCATACCAAAAAATTGACAATCGTTTTAGTTTTCTTTGTCAATCAATAACAATCGATTCTGACAAGTTGACAAAAATACAATCAATTTGAAGAATTCTATCACGAAGACATTTGCATATGAGCTCAAATCGGAGTGACTTCATTTAAAGAACATAGCAAAGGAATCAGCGTATTTGAATATCTCAACCTGTCAAAACTGCCGATTGAATTACCAAAATTGACACTTTAATTACAGAACAATAATTACAACTTAAAACCACACTAATAATAAAACACAATTATACTACTGATCACTAGTTCGCAGTTGTATCGCTTCGAAGTATTCGCTTATATCGCCAATTCAATACTGCCTCGGTCGCGGTCTCTACCGGCCTTATCCGGCTTATAGGGCCACATATAGTTTCCAGAACCTTCTACTGTAGAAAAATCTAGAATGTTCTAGTACATATCGGTCCCGATTGACTAGGTGTCGATAGTTCCAGAAAGTTCTTCCATGGAAATTTCTAGAAGGTTCTTGACT